CTTTTTTGGAGTCCATCCCATTCTTTCTTGCCTTTTTTGGAGTCCATCCCATTCTTTCTTGGCTTTATGGGAATCCATCCCATTCTTTTTTAGGTTTCTTGGAATTGATCCCATTTTTCCATTTAATCCTTTTAGTCATTAAAACGTTTATGAAACACACTTAGTAGTTTCATACAAAACTTAAATTCTGTTTAACTAATATTCTAGTTTTCTACATATTCAACAACAAATGTTTATCGGTAAATTGTTTTTAGTGTAGTGTGACGAGTAGAAAAACTGAAATCTGTTTTTTGTTTTCCAGATGTGGCATGACATTGACAGTGTGTTTTTAGTTGATCCACAACCGTTTGATCAAAATTTCAAAATGGTGCAGCACAATTTGAATGGATCTACATTTCATGCTGAAATAGCGCCTCAGATTCAGAGAGAGGAGATACAACAGCAACCGGAAGTTGGCTGTAAAACTTTAATACATGAGTTACAGCCTCAAAAAGAGCAACAGAAGCAACAGTTGCAAGGTAACCTCGATGACGTTATGCTGGAGCTGGAGTTCGTGCTGGGTCCGCACGCTAGAAATTTGTATACACAAGAAACTGACTTCTACATATCACAAGAAGTATCCCCAAAACACAACTTTTCTCAGTTCTGCAGTCCCTCTCTGAATGTGTCTAAAACTAGTAGTGAAACACTTCGCCAGCAGTTGAATCATCTCCCTATTCCGTCAACCTATGCAAGCGGAATAAGCAGTGATTATCAGTTTGGAACTTGCCCGACTACAGCGGTTGCGCCATCTTACGGAAGTCTCCATTGGACACAGAACAAAAACAATAAAACGCTAGTTTCGAACCAAATGTCACCACCAGCATCTCCAGAGAGAACTGTTCTCCAACTTCAACAAAATATAACGTCTACAGAATTAGATGTTTTTACTGCGGTTCCTCAAACGGTTTCGTCTGCAATGACACAACCACATCAAGTTGATCACCTTACATCTGCATCATCTCATCTTCCACAGCAGCAACAAGTTAGTCATCACTTAAGAATTATGACCCCGCCATCTTCTCCTAATCTTGTCGATCTTCTTAACAGAACCAACCCAACTGGAAATGGGATTGTGTCGACATCAAATGGGGTCCAACTGTCGGAAGCCTCTCAGGGCAATGGCAAGTTGAAGAAAGGGCGTCGCAGTCTGGGGCGAAAAAAAATCACAAACCACTCTTGTTCTCACCCGGGTTGTAGTAAAACGTACACCAAGAGCTCCCACCTGAAGGCTCATCTCCGGACCCACACCGGCGAGAAGCCTTACGAGTGCACGTGGAAAGGATGTGGCTGGAAGTTTGCACGTTCCGACGAACTGACCAGACACTACCGGAAACACACCGGCGATAGACCTTTTCAGTGTCGCCTGTGTGAACGTGCTTTCTCTAGGTCCGACCATCTGTCGCTTCACATGAAGAGACATGCAGTTGTATGAAGAAGCAAATGACTGAAATTATAAAAATGCAATGGACTCGATTTTCCGGACTATCCATGACAAATCCAGTTCCTCGATGTTTTGTTGAATCTTATGATTTTTTACACGAAACTGTCAATTTACATAAACGACCAAAATCGTGCGGGACCAATGCTTTTATGCTTTTTTCATCTTGAGGAAGCACTAACAAATATTCGCCTGTAGAGGGCGTTGTGGGCGCCAGCCTGGGAAGATAAATTAATTGGTTTATTTTTAAGGTCATTCAAAGTGTAAATTACTTGTGTTTAATATAAGCAATAAACATCATGAGCGATTTTAATTAAAAGTTATCTCATTATAAACACATCCCTTTGTAAAAGGTGAGTGACTTCGTGGTTATTAAAAACGTTATGGATCACGTAAATATATATTGAAATGTAAATTAAGCTGAATAGCATGATATTTCAAAGTGTAGGTAGCATTGAACTAAGAGTTCATTTCGTAGTTGTGCCCAGAAAAATCGCATGAGAAATAAAAAAATGCAAAACGTACAACAAAGTGGAAACAGTTTTATGGAGTATTCCAGAAAACAGAATATTTAAGTAGGGCTTCAAAATCATCGACATTTCACAATTCACCCAGTTACTTGACAGGTGGCAGGTTGATTCTTTGTAAAAATGAGTAACTAATAAAAATATACTGACGTGAAAACTTTTACAGTTGTACCAGATTCCCGGCGAGTAATGTTGTACCAGATTCCCGGTAAGTTATGTTGTATCAGATTCCCGGTGAGGTATGTTGTACCAGATTCCCGGTGAGGTATGTTGTACTAGATTCCCGGTGAGTTATGTTGTATCAGATTCCCGGTGAGGTATGTTGTACCAGATTCCCATCAAAATTATATGGTTTCATCACTTTCAACCAGCCATATTGTTGTACCACATTCCCAGTAAAACATATTGTTGTACCACATTCCCAGTAAAACATATTGTTGTACCACATTCCCAGTAAGCCATATTGTTGTACCACATTCCCAGTAAAACATATTATTGTACCACATTCCCAACAAGCCATATTGCTGAACTTCATTCCCAGTGAAATATATTGTTGTACCACATTCCCAGTAAAATATATTGTTGTACCACATTCCCAGTAAAACACATTATTGTACCACATTCCCAACAAGCCATATTGTTGAACTTCATTCCCAGTGAAACACATTATTGAACCACATTACCAACAAGTCATATTATCTTATCACAGCCACAGAAAATGTTTGTATTGTTGTCCACTGTTTTAGTGTTTTAGAATAAAATGGTCAGCTAATCCTGTAAGGACAAGACTAATGTTGTGTATCGAATACCTTTTGTTCCAGAAGATGTTGCTATCTGTGTACTTAGGACACGATAAGACGTGGTTGATTTTGTTTCCTTTAAGGCCTAATAATCTTTGCTTATATTCTAGTCTGTTCGAGTAGCTTGATTTCCTGTTTGACTCGCCTGTGATAAATCATCATATAAGTTACAAATTTAGACATTAATTGTTTTACATCTGGTCGGAAAGCTCACTTAGCAGTAATAAAATGATAATTATTGATACTGGTTTCCAGATTGTCATATATATATATATACAAACATACAGAAAATATTCGTGTAGAATGTTATGACTATCTATTTCTTTTGCTCCGTCTACAACTTACATGCCATGTAAATACCGTTGTAATATTTACTTTTTCTGATAATAATAATAAAAAACCCTATGATGATTTTCTTAATGTTACGATCATGCAGGAAAACATAAATTACCAATAAAAACAAACAACAAGTAAGTTAGTTTAAACCGAACATTTGAAAATATTATATATTGATGATAAAATAAATTACTACTTTAACGTAATCAAAAACCAAATGAAAAGTATACAAAATTAATAATCAACCACGTGCCTTGAATATTTTCATTTTTCTTAACAGTTTCACATCGAATATAGTTAACATTTGAAGGTTTTACTTACAAAACCTCACAGTGTGTTGATTTAGAAACAGTGGCTAATAGCGCCTTGATTTAAAGAAAACATATATATTGTAATATATTTATAATATTGAAAGTGAAGGTCTTTAGGTAGTAAAAGAAACATTATTATTTTCTTGTATATATTTTAATATATATTAAAATAAAGAGAACAATGTGAAGATCTATCTTCGAGAAGGATAAAACGTTCACTCGTTTTACTATATCTGTATTTAAAGATATCCTAACTTTGGTATGTATATATATATGTATAATGTTTTATATAAAATGAAACTGTAGATTACAGAAACTGTCAAAGCCTTCTCAGTCAATTGACGTGATAGAGAAAGTATATTCATGGTTTTATAAGCTCAATAACCAATTCTCACAAACGCTTAAATATAATCATTAAAGAAATGATCAACTCCACAGATCCAGGTATAGAAGGATCACTTAGAGAACTTGGATGATTAATCCACAGATCCAGATATAGAAGGATCACTTAGAGAACTTGGATGATTAATCCATAGATCCAGATATATAAGGATCACTTAGAGAACTTGGATGATTAATCCACAGATCCAGATATAGAAGGATCACTTAGAGAACTTGGATGATTAATCCACAGATCCAGGTATAGAAGGATCACTTAGAGAACTTGGATGATTAATCCACAGATCCAGATATAGAAGGATCACTTAGAGAACTTGGATGATTTTTTTTTTGTTACAGTAAAACAAATCATATGTAATACGTAGAACACATTTTTGCTTTCCATTAAATTTTATTAAATTTATCTGATATCCACGTGTTATTGACACGCAGGGGAAGTGGTCAGCCAGACTTGCATTGGTCAGCATCTCCTAGCCATGCTTACGTGCCACTATTACTTCCATGACAGTAATTAATACATTTTTTATTGTGAACGTTATTATTAGTATCGTGTTGTTGTCGTTTTTGTTGTGTTAAAGTATTCAATTTTATGATAACGAAGTTTATACGAGATTTTTGTGACAAGTTTGTTTTGTTTTTTTTCTACGAAGGTTTTATACACGAGCAATGTTTGCATTGTACAGCCTGTGGTGAAGGCCCTCTTTCTTACTTGTTAAAAACGGTGTTGTTTTATTGTTTTTATAAACTTTATGTTTTATAAACGGAAGCGTTTAAAATCTGTAAAATTTTTGCAATGACAATTAAAGCTGATTTATTTGATATTTCTTTGTTTTTTTTCACTTCTTTATTTCCCCAGACCGTTCAAGATATAAGTAACTCAGGATTTTTTTAAAAAGGGAAACTCCCCCCACCCCTAGAAAGTCACGTGAGAAGTACTTACAAGTAAATGAAATATTCAGTGGTTCAAATGTAGGATACTTTTAAAGTAGGCTTCAGAATAATTCAACTGTCCAACTCCAGTAAGTAAACACATTTTAAGTGATTAATATTGCTAAAAATGTCATGTAAACACATTTTAAATGATTAATATTGCTAAAAATGTCAAGTAAACACATTTTAAATGATTAATATTGCTAACAATGTCAAGTAAACACATTTTAAATGATTAATATTGCTAACAAAGTCAAGTAAACACATTTTAAATGATTAATATTGCTAACAATGTCAAGTAAACACATTTTAAATGATTAATATTGCTAACAATGTAAAGTAAACAGATGTTAAATTATTAATATTGCTAACAATGTCAAGTAAACACATTTTAAATTATTAATATTGCTAAAAATGTCAAGTAAACACATTTTAAATGATTAATATTGCTAAAAATGTCAAGTAAACACATTTTAAATGATTAATATTGCTAACAATGTCAAGTAAACACATTTTAAATGATTAATATTGCTAACAAAGTCAAGTAAACACATTTTAAATGATTAATATTGCTAACAATGTCAAGTAAACACATTTTAAATGATTAATATTGCTAACAATGTAAAGTAAACAGATGTTAAATTATTAATATTGCTAACAATGTCAAGTAAACAC